ATCGGCAGGCGGACTCTCAACCACTGCGCCATGAGGGAAGCCCTATCCCGTAATTCTTCATACCAACTTCACTAGATGGCGCAGTAGAGCGAGCGCTAGATCAGGACCCTGAGTTGCTGGAGGGAGGAAAGCGAAGCCTGTGAACTAATTATACTAGTGATTGAGAAAAGCATTTGTGAAAGCACTTGCTCTGTTGCAAATAATCTGAAATGGATGAATAAAGAGTGGGAGTGTCCCCAGTGGTCAGCATTTTTGACAAGATAGAAAGATGGGAGAACATTTGAAAATATGAGCACAATTTGAACAAATGCCTCTAAGGTGAGGTTGATTGTGTTATTACTATTGGTGTTCACTAGGACACACACACACACACACACACACACACACACACACACACTGCCCTCCTCCCCCAACAGGAATCCTTGTTTATCAGTTTACTTCCTAAAGCTCATCCTTCCCCCCCTTTTTTTTTTATCTCTTTGAAAATATTTTCTTCCTGATCTCATCTCAGTTTTTGGCCAGTTTGTGGCTCTAGCTGTAATCCCTTGGACTCTTTTGATACACTTTTCTCCCATCAGTATTATCAGTTTTATTCAAGAAACATTTTAACAGCCTGCTGTTCGTAAAGCCTTGCCTTAGATGTCAGGTATACAGAGCAGAGAAGTGAGCTAATGACTGTGAGTAAGAAGACATTGTGCTTGGCATTTTGTCCACATTATACTGTTTAATTCTTATAGCAACCCTATTGGACAGACATTATTTCCCCATTTTACTGATGAAGAAATTAGGCTGAGAGGCTAATTGGTGCAACATCACACAGTCAGTAAAGGAGTTGGAATGCAAACCCTAGTTTAACTCAAACTTATTGTCTTCAGTATTTTGCAATATCAAAAATGATTAAGATGGCCACAATGTTAAAAATGTGCATGAACCTTATTTCTAGGCAGACTTAAATAATTGTTAGAATGAAGTTCCATGGGAATGCCAAGAAGGGTTCATTCCATCTGGGAGATCAAAGAAGGCTCAACCAAGAAGATGGCTTTGAAAGTGGCCTTGAAGGATGCATAGGATTTTATTAAACAGGTAAAAGCGATCGGGGCCTTCCGGGCTGGTAAAGTGCAGCAGAAGCAAAGGCAGGTTAGCTGTAGAGCACACACTGTACCTGGGGAATGGAGGCCTTTAAATGCCAAAAAGAGTTTCACGTTAAAAGTGATGAGCAATCCCCGGTGTTGTAGGGGAGTGATGTGCTCCATTCTGAGATTTGAAGGGCAGAGTGCTGTGGCACTGTGAAGGAGGAGTTGAATCATTATTTTAGTGGTCCGTGTGAGAAATAATCAGGATCTGAGGGAAATGGAGAGAAAACTAAGGAACTGCAAAAAGGTGCTCAAAAGCCCAATCTACTGGATACTTGAGGTGAGGGACACGGGAATTGAGTTACTGAGCCTTCTAAACTCTTATTTATTAAAATTAAATTACTTATTTTTTAAAGTTATTAAATTACCGAGTGGGTAATGATTCTAGTCACAACAACAGAGAGCACGGTGGGGGAAGCTTTTTGTTAGAGTGTAGGATTGAGTTTGGGATAGTTCTGGGGTTCCAATGACCTACACTTCGAGTTTTCTCACAGGAAGTTGGAGCGTGAGATGCAAACCTGGGGTGACTCCTGTGAGGCCATGAGGATAAGACCCAGTGAAAGAGGGCAGAGTCTCAGGAATACTTCCATTTGCAGGTAATTGTGGGGTCTGGTTACTGTACGGTAGGTGGGGGTATTTGTTAGACTAGGTAAGTCGATGTCCCTAACTAAGGGACTTGAGGATTGAGTGCAACTTGTCTCTTAGTGAATAGGAGGCCAGAGAGTGAGTGACTAGGCCAGGGTGGCGGAGATGCAGGGCAGGAGATGAGGAAGGTTGTGCAGGAGATCTGGGGACAATGTAGCAGGAAATTCAGATCTCTTCCCACTTAAGAGTTTGGCCTCTCACAGGAGCGACCAGCAAAGGTGGGAGGTCCGCAACCAAGATTCCATGATGCACTGGAGAGTCTGGCTTAGCGACAGGTAGGTCTTCTTCCACATACTTTCTCCACACCCGCTTCCCTGGAAGTTCTCCCAGACATGGCTTTTAATTCACTCTCTATTTACTGTTATCTTCCTTAAAAGCAAACCCGGACTGTAAAGAGTAGCAAGAGGGAGATCTTACGGTGATTGAATAGATCTGTATTTGATTGTAGTTCTGTATTGGATTATACAGATCCACACATGTGATAAAGTGACACCCACACCTATTTTACCAATGTTAGTTTCCCAGTATTGATATCATGCTATTGTTATGTAAGATGTAAGCATTGGGGGAAACTGGGTGCAGGATATAGGGTCATCTCTGTACTATCTTTGCAACTTCCTGTAAATCTGTATTTTTTAAGGCAGGTGATTCTGTTCAGTCCATCTCTCTTTGATATCTTTGTTCTAGACCTATTGACTGACAACCAATTTGAGGCCTTTCTCAATCCCCCTTAACTGTGTTTAAGCATCAACCTTGAAGTTTTTTGTTTTTTTTTTAAATTTCTTGGATTCAGTTCCGTTTGCCTCCAGATCTAACTGGCTAGCTTCCAATTCCAATAATACTCTGTCCCCCACCATTATACTTATTTTACTATTTTGAAAAAGAAAGATATATGATAAAAGATATACCTACATATGTCCACATATATAGATTTATAGGACAGAGTTTCATCAGTTAAGGGGTTTAACAGTGACCCAATGCTCTTTTTTAACTCACCCATCCACCATGTTTATGTAGGCTCTATGTTCTTGTGTTATTCTGTCCTAAAGACCCTGATGCAGACAATCTTCCACCCTTTACTGGTAAGAAAACTAAAAACAGTAACAGAAGTAACTGTCCTAAGATGATTCAACCAGTGAATGGTCAGGCCAAAGGCAGAATTAAATCTTTCAAATATTTCAGCTGTAACTGTTTACTAAATTAGCCACTTTAAAAAAAAAAGAAGCTCACCAATACTTATGACAAGGACCAAATGAAAACCAGACAGTGTGCCTAAAAGAAATATCAAACATTTCTATCTTTTATTGTCTGTGGAAATTGATGACAAGAAGTAGGATAGAGGAATATAGAGGTGTTTTATGTATTTATCTATTTTAAAGCAACAGGTACTTATTGAGGGCCTTAAATTCAAGACCCTATGTTGGTTGTTCCTGGGAATACAAAGAAGTAAAATGTACATATACTCAAGGGGGTTATGCTGTGGTTGGTGAAACATTAATTTACCTATAAACGGTAATTAGCAATGCATTTATGGTATGAACCACAAATGGCTAGTAGTATAGTAAAAACAAACAAACAACTATAAATGTAGTATAGTAAAAAAAAAAAAGAAATCTATAAAAACTTCCTAGGATTGGAGACACTGATATTCTTGAGGAGTATGGACCTTGAAGGAGGAGAAAGGGAACAAGAGATACAAGATAGGCAAGTAGAGGGCTGATGTTCTCAATCTACTAGGAGGAAATAGAAGGTAACTGTTAGAAGCATAGACTTTTCTTCTGCTTACTTTGGGCTTAATTTGCTCTTCTTTTTCTAGTTTCCTAGGGTGGAAACTTAGAATACTAATTTTAGATCTTTCTTCTTTTCTAATAAATGCAGTCAATGCTATAAATTTCTCTCTGAGCACTGCTTTTGCTGCATCCCACAAATTTTGATAAGTTGTGTTTTCATTTTCTTTAGTTCAAAATATTTTTAAATTTCTCGAGATTTCTTTGACCCAGGTGTTATTTAGAAATGTATTATTTAATCTGCACATATTTTGGGATTTTCCAGTTATCTTTCTGTTATTGCTTTCTAGTTTAATTCCTTGTGGTCTGAGAGAAACTTCATAGGATTCCTGTTCTTTTAAATTTGTTTAAGTGTGTTTTATGGCCCAGAATGTGGTCTAGCTTGGTAAATGTTCCATAAGAGCTTGAGGAAATTGTGTCTTCTGCTGTTGTTGGATGAAGTAGTCTGTAGATGTCAGCTGTAGCCAGTTGATAATGGTGTTGTTGAGTTCAACTGTGTCCTTACTGATTTTCTGTCTGCTGGATCTGTCCATTTCTGAGAGAGGGGTGTTGAAGTTTCCAGCTATGATAGTGGATTCATCCATTTCTCCTTGCAGTTCTATTAGTTTTTGCCTGTTTGATGATCTGTTGTTAGGCACATACACATTAAGAATTATTACATCTTCTTAAAAGAATTAACCCCTTTACCACCATATAATGCCCTTCTTTATCCCTGATCACTTTCCTTACTTCGAAATCTGCTCTGTCTGAAATTAGTATAGCTACTCTTGCTTTCTTTTCATTAGCGTTAGCATGGCATATTCCTCATCCATTTATGTTTAATCTACATGGGTCTTTAAGGTGAGTGTCTTGTAGAGAACATACAGGTGGGTTCTGCTTTTTGACCCACTCTGACAATCTCTGTCTTTCAGTTGGTGCATTTAGACCATTGACATTCAAAGTGATTACTGATATAATTGAATTAATATCTACCATATTTGTTACTGTTTTCTATTTGTTGACCTTGTTCTTTGTTCCTATTTTTGTCTGCCACTCTTCCTGCCTTTTGTGCTTTTAATTGAGCATTTTATATGATTCCATTTTCTTTCTTTTTTAGTGTATCAGTTATACTTCTTTTTTAAAATACTTTTGAAAATGGTTGCCCTAGAGTTTGCAATATACATTTACAATTAACCCAAGTCCGTTTTCATATAACACTATACCACTTTATGGGTGGTATGAGTGCCTTATAATAACAAAATAATACTAATTCTCAGTCCCTTGTACCATTGCTGTCATTCATTTCACTTATATATAAGTATACAAAAGCATGTGTGTGTATAAAATCTAATACACATTGTTGCTATTATTATTTTGAACACTGTTATCTGTTAGATCAATTAAGAATAAGAAAAATAAAATTTTTAATTTTACTTCATTTCTTCTTTCTTTGATGTTCATCCTTTCTTTATGCAGATCTAAGTTTCTGACCTATATTATTTTCCTTCTCTCTAAAGAACTTCTTTTAATATTTCTTGCAAGGCAGATCTACTGGACAACAAATTTCTTCAATTTTTATTTGCCTGAGAAAGCCCTTATTTTTTCATTTTTGAAGGATGATTGGACAGGGTACAGAATTCTAGGCTGATGGATTTTTTCTTTCAACACTTGAGGTCTTCTACTCCATTCTCTTCTTGCTTGAATGGTTTCTGAGGAGGAGTCAGAGGTAATTCTTATCTTTGCTCCTCTGTATAGGTAAAGGTTTCTTCCTTCTGGCTTCTTTCAGGATTTTCCCTTTATCTTTAATTTTCTGTAGTTTCTGAAGATGATATGCCCAGGTGTAGTTTATTTTGTTTGTTCTTGACATTTATCCTGCTTGGTGTTCTTAAGATTATTGGATTTGTGGTTTGGTGTCTGATACTAAATTGGGGAAATTCTCAGTCATTATTGTTTCAGATATTTCTTCTCTTCCTTTCTCTCCTTCTCCCTCTTGTACTCCCCCTATGTGTATGTTTCACCTTTTGTAGTTGTCCCACAGTCCTTGGATAGTTTGTTCTTCTTCTCAGTCTTTGTTCTCTTTGCTTTTTGGTTTTTGAGGATTCTCTCGCTATATCCTCTAGCTCAGAGATTCTTTCCTCAACTGTGTCCAGTCTACTCGTATGCCTATCAAAGGCCTACTTCATTGCTGTTCCAGTGTTTTTTTATCTCTAGCATTTCTTTTTGGTGCTTTGTTAGGATTTCCATCTCTCTACCTACACTCTCCATCTGTTTTTTTTTTTTCTTTTTTAGCGGTACGCGGGCCTCTCACTGTTGTGGCCTCTCCCTTTGCGGAGCACAGGCTCCGGACGCACAGGCTCAGCGGCCATGCCTCACAGGCCCAGCCGCTCCACGGCATATGGGATCTTCCCGGACCGGGGCACGAACCCGTGTCCCCTGCATCGGCAGGCGGACTCTCAACCACTGTGCCACCAGGGAAGCCCTCTCCATCTGTTCTTACATGCTGTCTACTTTATCCATTAGAGGCCTTAGCATATTAATCACGGTTGTTTTAAATTCCTGGTCTGATAATTCCAACATCCCTGCCATGTCTGGTTCAAATGCTTGCTCTGTCTCTTTAAGGTTGTTGTTGTTTTTTTGTTTTTTTTTTTGCGGTAGGCGGGCCTCTCACTGTTGTGGCCTCTCCCGCTGCGGAGCACAGGCTCCGGACGCGCAGGCTCCGCGGCCGTGGCTCACGGGCCCAGCCGCTCCGCGCCATTTGGGATCTTCCCGGACCGGGGCACAAACCCGTGTCCCCTGCATCGGCAGGCGGACTCTCAACCACTGCGCCACCAGGGAAGCCCTAAGTTGTGTTTTTTTACCTTTTGGTACATCTTGTAATTTTTTCTTGATAGCCAGACGTGATGTATTTGGTTGTTTCTCAGTTATTTTTTCTCCCCCCTGAAGTGGTACTGGATGGCTTAGAGCTGGCTGGAGTTGGGTATTTCCCTTCCCCTGGTCACTTAGACTCTGAAAATACCCCAGCAGGTCAGGCTCTGATAACTACTTTCCCCGCCGAGTTCAGGCCTTGTTAAAGAGAACAGAGTGCTCTGGCGCATTTCAGAGTGTTCTGACGCGTTGCAGTGCGTGGCGCTTTTCCCCTCCCCCTGACAGACGGATGAGGCATTTTTCTCTGATATTTACTGTGGGAAACTGGTCAAGCTCCTGGAGGTAAATCTCACAGTATTGTGGGCCCCCCATGACCAGGTCCTTATGGAGTTTTAACTCTCAGAGTTGTGGTCCGCACTGAGCCTCCAGCAAGCCGTCGATTGTAGTTCAGGTTTTCCTACCCCAGCACTGGCTCCCGCAGCTGTTTCTGCTTGTGAGTCTGCTCCAGCAGCTACAACTCCCGGTATTTGCCTGTCTCTCCAGGCTTGGAGGCTGCAGTTTGTCTTGTGTCCTCCCCTCTCTTATGGAATCAAGAGAGTTGACTTTTCAGCCTGTCAGGTTTTTACTTCTTAAGACCAAGTGGC